TGCAGGAAATTTGGGTTTGGAAAAAAGAAAAAAAAAAAAAAGGAAACTATTATTTCATTTAACCCTTCCCCCGTAACAAACAGAACAAAGCTATAAAAACTAAAGTAGGGAATGTTTTCAAACAAGTTATAAAACATTATCTGATCACTTGTAAGCACCATAAAATATTTAATAGAAATACAATAAAATTGAGATATTGCCATATGGACAATGTAATCAGACAAATAATAATAATAATAAAAAAAAAAAAAATCAATGTTGAAACACTGTCTACACATGATATAAATTCTATCCCTATCTCCTGTAAATGACGGGAAGAGAGACAGCAGTTGTCGTAGGGAGGGGGGGCATTTTAACTACTATTATATATCAAACAAACGTTTTTTTTTTTTTTGTTTTTTTTATGGCTTATCAACCTTTCGCAGATTATTTAAAGTCAGAAAGATTTTTAAATTGTAAGAATTTTTTCTTTTTTTTTGAGATAATGATTTAGTGATACAAGTGGAGAAGAGACCATTTCCCCACCAGATGCATTTGTGGAGAAGAGACCATTTCCCCACCAGATGCATTTGTGGAGAAGAGACCATTTCCCACCAGATGCATTTGTGGAGAAGAGACCATTTCCCACCAGATGCATTTGTGGGAGAAGAGACCATTTTGGAGAAAGACCATTTCCCCACCAGATGCATTTGTGGAGAAGAGACCATTTCCCCACCAGATGCATTTGTGGAGAAGAGACCATTTCCCCACCAGATGCATTTGTGGAGAAGAGACCATTTCCCCACCAGATGCATTTGTGGAGAAGAGACCATTTCCCCACCAGATGCATTTGTGGAGAAGAGACCATTTCCCCACAAGATGCATTTGTGGAGAAGAGACCATTTTCCCCACAAGATGCATTTGCGGAGAAGAGACCATTTTCCCCAAACTAGCATTGGAACTCTGCTCTCCGATTAACAATTCTCAGGCATTATTCATAACACTACGTGGACATCCAATCTTACAGCACCTTGTATTCCCAAGCAGTCACCCATCTAGGTACTGACCAGGCTCCACATTGCTTCACTTCAGTTCTTGCTCAAGAACCTGTGTTTCAACATGGTCATAAATCAGCAACGTAAGACCATAACTGTGAAAGCTAACAGTGAACCTGACATAGCATACATTATTGCTACTGAAGAGACAAGCAAACAAAGATAATATTTTTTTTTTTAAAGCAATTCACTTCAAGCAAGGCAGGAGTGCCAGTAGCATGCAAGAGATTACAAAGGATTGATAACAAGAGTAAAGAGGCGTGTTTGAGGAAAGGATACAGAGAAGGACAGGGAACAAGATCAAGGTATCAGATGTCAATTGACATTACACTTGAATATTTGAAGATTATAGTTATCAGGGAAGCAAGCAAGGAGAAGGCAGTTCCATAGACAGGAAGTGCAAGAGAAGAAGCTGCTCGAGTAAAAGAGATGGTTACATTTAACCGTTTCGACAGTGAAAGGGTGGCGCCGAGATGCCAGCCTAGTAGCTAGCTCGCTTAAATTCATGCAGTCTGGAAAGTAGCTTGTCAGAACAGTTGCCGTGAAAATACTTGTAGAAGAGACAGAGAGAAGCCATGGTACATCTGTCAGAAAGCAACTGTAGATGAGATGCCAGATCAGGATCTATAATATTGCATATTATTCTCTGGATTTTGTCGAGGACCTCAAGACATACAGTGGGGGCACTAGGTCATATACGACAGCAATCAAAAACTTCATTTACAACAGTGCAATCTATATTAACTGCAGGAACAGAAAAAAAGTTGCCTTCATTTACAATGGTACAATGCTTTCAACAAATTTGTGAGAATTGTGAAATGGAGAATTTTAAACAGAGTGTATGTATGTCTGCAAGGCAAGATTTCTAAAACCTGGAGTAGTTTCCAAATAAAAATTATGCATTTCAGAATTCATCTTAACAGGAGAGGCTATTTAACTGTAATGAAAATAATGGCTTACTGTATCAATCAAAATGCTCTGACATCACATGCTCCATCTGCCAGGCAAGAACATCCCAGATGATGTCTTGGTTATAGACGTGACCATGCAAATTTTTTTCTCTCTTATGGCCAGTTGTGAGTGTCATGAGGGCTTTATAAACTGTTGCTTTTTACCAACCAGGAGTGATAGCAGTATGCTAGCTGTCTGAGGACAGATTTTGTGACCTACAGATTTTGTAAAGCAATATCTTCAGAACTTGTCTTTCCTTAACAAAGCCCAAATTGCTTTCTAAATGTAGGTAGGCGAATAAGTACTTGTTATGTCATTTACAACACCCCCCCCACCCCAATTAAATATTTATGGATCCTTCAATGTTTACATAAGAATCAACATAGAAGGAATACAATGTGCTTGAACATTAGATCAGCATTGCAGCCCCCCCCCCAGCCAAACACTAGACCAGCATTACAGTCAGTCCTCCCCCAACATTCACCAAGCATTCCAGTCGCCTGCAACTTACCAGTATTACGGTTGTGCACCACCCCCAACACTTGCCTGTCATTACAGTCAAGACACCCCCCAACTTCCCACAACACTTGCTCGGCGTTTTGGAGGATCACTTCAGAATATGATCAACAATATTTCCCCTCCTTAAAATGGATATTTAAGAATTGGGAAAATATTTAAGTAATCAACTTGAGATTAATAAATCTAATTTTTGTTTTTTGCTGGAGCTGATGTTTCGTTATATAAATGATAAATTTTCATTCGCTAGTTTAGTTTTTCAGTTAACCTTTGACCAGGGTGCTTGTTTGTTTGGTATACAGAAACTGGAATTCTCACACTGAAATTACATTTTTCACATATTTATTCAAGTATATATTATTACAAAAATATGATTAGCGATACTGACACACAAAAAACATGCAAACTAAGCTTGTTTACAAGCATTAACAACAGCTTCCCTGTTTATTCATGCAGCTGACTACTACACTTACACATACATAAAACAATGTACATCCATGTCACACACATTCTCACATGTAGATGCATTCTGTTTATCTTATACTAACACAATTCATTTGATTATACTGTAAAAAAAGATACACAAAATATTTTGTGTGAAGTTGTTTTACAAAGAATTTTTATTTCTTTCCATTTGAAAGAAAAATAATACTCAAATAATAAAAAAAATATTTAAATTTGTACAGCCGTGTTGAAGATTCACTTATTTCTTCATTATATACACGCATAATCCGCTACACCCTGCACCTCACACAAGACTATCACTACACACCTGCAAGATCATGTTCTGTATCTGGTGGACTAGTTGACAAGTGGTGTACTATGAGCTACCAACAACGAACCAAACATCACTGCAGACATGTACTCATAACAGCTGGAATACGTGCAACAGGCACTGAAGCAGGAATCAGCAATGGTTAATCAAGTAGCATGAGTGGCCAGGGATACCATATAGTGACTTGGCTGGGAGACACTGACACTGTGCCATCCACGTTACCCCAGACCTTGTGCTAAACAGGTTACTACCGCTTCCATCTCCTGGACAACCACCTTCATGGGAAATCCTTCATAAAAGAGATAGATTTGCGGCAGGTACACACAGATTTCTTTGCATCCAAGACAGCTGAATTTTACCACCAAGGTATTGTGCAGCCAGAAGCACATTGACAAAATTTTCTAGATATCAATGGGAATTACTTTAAGGATTAATGGTATGGCAAATTTTCTGTATATCTTTTTTTTACTAATAAGGACTGTTTCAGTTACCTTGTATGGCTTATCAGCCTTTTGTGGATTATTTAAAACTGAAACCTATTTGGGATTTTTTTTTTTTAATGAGTGAAAACTGCATTAACAATTTTTTTTTGAGAAAAACTATTTTTCCAGATACAAGCCCTACTATTTAACTCATAGATGATGGGAAAGAGAGATAAATTCATAACTTTCCCAAGGGTATTTGCACATAGGTTCATAGGTGAGCCACTATCCATCACATCACCTGCATATCATATTCTTGGAAAAACCAACTTCAGATCATCATGGCGCATTCTATTGATCAATTTTATTAAATTCTAACATATCATCTATAGTCATTCTGTTATAGGAAGAAAATCACAACTGTCAAGGTCATTTTTGTAAAGACCATCACAGGCGATGAAAAATGGATTGTTTACAAAGAGGTGGAGCAAAAAAAGGTTCTGGGAAATAGGAAATGAGCCACCATTAAATGCTCAAAAAGCCTGTCTGCATCCAAAGATGATGATGCTCTGTATTTGATGGAATTTGAAAAGAATGATGTATTATGGATTCCTTCCACAAAATCAAATATTGAATTCGAACCAGTACTGTTATCAGTTGGACTCATTAAAGACAGAAATCCATGATTGATTGATTTTTAGGGTTTATCAGCCCATTGTGGGCTATTTTTTTTATTGATTAATTCATTTTCTACAGTTTATCAATCCTTTGCAGGTTATTTAACCTTTCCCATGCTAATTTTTTTCTAGAATTGTTTCCCCTCCCACTATATTTTTTTTTTTTGAGGGTGCAAAAACCTCATGTAGAGTCTAGAATAATTCAAAATAGTGTTGGAAAACAGAAGTTTGACCTTGCTCCAAAACAGTCGTAGGCAATTTCCAGCTTAAAATACCGAAAATAACAGTTGACAAGTGTTTATTTATAGCAACCATCTCAAGGCGACAGAATTCGCCTAGAGTGTTAAAGGGAGAGAATTCTATGGTGACAATTCTTGCCTGCAGCATGGTAAAGGTTAAAGCCAGAAAAGATTTTTAGATTAGGATAATTTTAGGGAGAGATAATAATGGTTTTAGTGATACAAGTGTTACTAATTAACCTATAGCTGAAGGAAAGAGGTGGATTCATACCTTTCCCAAGGATATTTGCATGTAAGTGAATATAACGAACCCAACAGGATATTAAACTCTGCTCTCTGATTAATATTCCCAAACTATTATCTATTACACCACTTGCACATCCAAGCTTACAGCACTTGGTATTCCCAAGTAGTCATTTATCTAGGTACTGACCAAGCTTGATGTTGCTTAACTCCAGTGATCATATGGGAACCAGTGTTTCAATGTGAATGTAATCATAAGCCATCGTGAGTTATTTAAAACCAAAACATATTTTGGATTGTAAGATTTCTTTTTTTGCGAGTGAATATATCATTAACAAGTTTATTAGAATAACAATGATTTTTTTTTTCTATTTAACCCATAGCTGGGAGGAGGAGACAGATTTCAAGGGTTTTGTGCTGCTATCTATTACACTACCCATAAATCTGCTAGCAATCAATGTTTTCAATTGTCCAATTTGGAAAAGTGTCTTCTATCGAGACAATATCAGACTTCACATCTCCTTGCAAAAGTGGTAGAAATTGGTATAGCCTGGATGAGTTGCTGACCTACGCTCACCATATGCACCTTCAGATTACCACTTATTTTGATCTCTGTAAAATTCTCTTTATGAGAAAACGTTAATTTTTTGAAAGCCTGTAAAATCTGCATACACCAGTTAATCACCCAGTTTTATTGCTTGCTTGGGGTGAAATGAAACAAACAAAAAAAATTTTTAAAAAAGTCCTAACAGTAGACATTGGTTGAATTTATATCATAGCTTGCAAGTACCCACCCAGAAAGTGGTTAGTGATTTTATTTTTATTTATTTCAAAGTCTGAGGGGGTCATATCTTTCTACAGGGGATGCAGTCAATAAGCTCCATTAAGAGGGCAATCCATAATCCAGATGATATTTAATCCTGCCAATGGAGAGCTCTTCCATCATTTGCAGATTCCTACCAAATCTGTAAACACTTCTTAGTTTCTAATTTTATACTTTTTTTTTTTTTGAGCAATGCACAATTAACAGTCACTGCAAAAGTTAGTTGTTTGATTCATTTTTTACAGCTTATCAACCCTGTGCAGTTTATTTAAAGCCAGAAAAAAATTTTTAGATTGTAAGAATTTTTTTTATATATAGATAATAACGGTTTAGTGATACAAGTTTTACTAATTAATCCATAACAATTAACAATTCCAAGTCATTATCATTACACGACCTACACATCCAAGCTTACAGAACTTAGTATTCACAAGCTGTCATCCATTTATTTACTGACCAGGCTTGATGTTGCTTAACTTCAGTGGCATACAGGAACTAGTGTTTCAACATGATATGGCCATAAGCCATGGTCAATGGAATGAGAACAATCTGCCGGTGATGATTAAATAGAGTTCAGTTCAAAATTCCCTGAATGTTATCCACAAAACGTTGTGATAACAACAAAGATAAGGACAACTGTTGTTGTTGGCTTTATCTCGTATGCAAGTATTTAATTTCTTTGCTGATCATTTCCTTTATGATGATGATGGTATTGAGGACTACATTCGCTGCTAACGTGCAGGTTCAGGACTAGAAGCTTCTAGTTTCACCAAGACCTGCTCCCCTCATCCATTCCCTATTGCCATTTGGCTTTGCAAGAATTGGTTGGAGATGAAAGAAAGACAGAATAGAAGAAAGTGCCGATGACGTGAATTTGTTTAAGGTGAACCTCAACTTGCAAGGAAGTGACCCATACACTTGATTTGATGAACTTCCTCTGCAGCATATGACATGAGACATGCATAATGTAGTTATGAAACTGCAACGGACTGCCATGGTTATAATTTCTAGTGGAGCCTTATGTAGCATGTCTGTCAATAAGGACAATAGTCTGCATGTAAATAATGTAAATAACCATTAAAATGAGTTTCAACAATTCCAAGCCATTACACCATCTACACATCCAAGTTTACAGAACTTGGTTTAGTTTGTTTTACGGCATATCAACATCAATGGGTCATTTAATGCCAACTTTTTTTCCTGGTAATATTTTTGTTTTGTCAAAAATCTATTTCTGGTAATATTTTTTTCCTCAAAAATGTATTGCTGGTAATAGTTTTTCTTCTTCAAAAATTTGTTCCTGGTAATTTTTTATAAAGTATTTCTGTTATTAAAACCCAGTTTTACACTTTCATAATGCTTTTTTTTTTAACCTCAGTTTCGGGGTTAACTATTTGCCCATAGCTGGGACCCTAACAGGTGCTACCACCCCAGGTCAGGGTGGACCTGGGAACACCAGCAATTAAGAGGTGGTTCCACGCTTCTCAAAGCCTCATGATCAGAGGCCTTGCTTTACAGAACTTGGTATTCCCAAGCGGTCACCCATCTAAGTACTGACCAGGCTTTGTTGATCATACAGGAACTGGTGTTTCAATGTGATGTTGCTGTACGCCATCACATCAAAAGACACTTTAACAACATTGGTGGTGTGGAAAGAGGAGAGGTGCTGCATTGACGACAGTAAATCTCTTGAGAAAAAAAAAAAAAAAAAAAAAATCCTACCCAGGCCAGTGACCTGCAGAGGACACTCCAGTGTCACCTAACCTGTGCTCAAATGGTATAACAGGCACTGTATCTACCACTATAAGCTGAATAATAATAATTATTACACACACACACACACACATATATATATATATATATATATATATATATATATATCTCATCTCAGGTGCAGATCCATAGTCTCAAGCCCGAAAGATGTTGCCAACATTTTATGAATTTTTATTTAGTAATTTTTTTTTTTTTAACATTTTTCTTGAAATGAAAACACTAAATTTATTTTACTTTTTAAAAGAAAAAAAAAAACATATAAAGAAATCATGCCTGGAGGTAATAAGATTATAAAATATATATCTCCTGGTTTGTGACCAGAATATATTTTTTTATGCTTAAGTTTAATCTGAAATCTCCAAATAAAAACCAAAAGTATGTGAACTACAAAGTCTTGAAAAAGAAAAACATCTTAGACCCTCTTACCAGCCAAAACAACAAGTAACCTTGCTAGTTATTGCTCTGAATATTATTATGATTGCTGTTAGAAAATGATTCTACCTTTCATGATGCTTTGCAAACTGGCAATTTCTTGTTGGCACTGGCGTCTAATGTCTTCAACTTCATCATGTTTATTTTCTTCCGATACAGCAGCCGCCGCCTTCAGATCTTCCAGCTCACTTTGGAGTTTCTTCAGATCTAACAGCAATGAATTGTTTTTCCCTAAAGCCTCAACTGTCGTTTCCCTCTCTCTCTTCAGCTCCTCTGAAATGCAAAACAAGTTTTCATATTAGTATTTATTATAGATACACAAATTCAAAATCGATAAATCTTATATAAACACAGCAAGGGTTTAATTTTTCAAACCAACAAGCGTTCTTTTTTGTTTTTTTTTTTAAGATGAATAATTATCATTATTATATACTGATTCAGTCAGACTAATGATAATATCCTCATCTTGGTTGTTACAGTCACTGGTCTTCTTCAGGTATCTTTAAGGTGAGTACATCAGTGGAAGTGCTGTGACAACAACCAAAATGAGAATGTTAGTCCAAATAAAAATAAAAAAAATCAGTAGAGAACAAAAAGCTTAACTTTGTTTTTCTAAAAAAATAAAATAAATCAATTTTGTAAATCAAATCTCTGAATTTTTCAATCTTGACAGACATTTAAAGTCTTTTAATCAGAACCCTACTTTGAATCAATTACGGAGTTCAATCCCTAAACAGAGTACTGAAATAGAATTAAAAAAAAAGATTGTCAAATTGATTCAAACAATCTATTATAATGATTTTTGTCTGAATTTCTTGACGGTTGTTTTTGTTTAGTGACATATCAAGCGCTATTGGTTATTTAATGGTGAAATCTAAATATTTTGTATGCAATTTTATGGTTACAGCTTATCAATTTTGAACACATTTTATGCATTCAACTACAGATATTTGTACATAATTTTATACTTTCAGGATAAACATATGTTTCTTTGTTTGATAAAATATATTGCAGGTAATTTTTTTTTTAAATGTATTGTTGGTAATTTTACTATGAAAAAATGAATTTTTATACTTTTTTAGTGTTGTATTCATTGTCATTTTGCTAGAAGTACGTATCGTTGGTCATTTTGCTAGAAGTACGTATCGTTGGTCATTTTGCTAGAAGTACGTATCGTTGGTCATTTTGCTAGAAGTACGTATCGTTGGTCATTTTGCTAGAAGTACGTATCGTTGGTCATTTTGCTAGAAGTACGTATCGTTGGTCATTTTTGCTAGAAAGCGATTTGGTCATTTTGTTGGTCATTTTTAAAGCACGATCGTTGGTCATTTAGAAGCACGTGGTCATTTTGCGTTGGTCATTTTGCTAGAAGTACGTATCGTTGGTCATTTTGCTAGAAGTACGTATCTGAGCCATTATCAATTACACTACTTACACATCCAAGCTTACAGCACCTGGTATTCCAAAGTGGTCACCCATCTAGGCACTGACCATGGTCAACGTTGCTTCACTTCAGTGATGATGCAGAAACCAGTGTTTCAAGTAGTGTGTACTTGCTCAGTGGAAAAAGAGCTAGCAGTAACTGAGCAGTACTAAATAAGAACAAGACAAGATATCCCTAGACATGGCCAGCAGTTTATTGATTGATTTTTTATGGCTTATCAACTCTTTGTAGGGTATTTAAAGCCAGAAAATATTTTCAGATTATAAGTATTTTTTGGCGATGATGATTTAGTGATACAAGTCTGACTAATTACCCATAGCTAGGGAGAGAAGAGGTGGATTCATGCCTTTCCCAAGGGTTTTTGAGCATAAATGAATATAACAAACCCAAAAGGAATTGGAACTCAGCTCTCCGATAAACAATTTTGAGCTATTATTCATTAGCCCACCTGCAGATCCAAGTTTACTACATCTGATATTCCCCAGCAGTTACCCATCTACGTACTTATCAATCACAATATTGCTTAACATGAGTGATCATAGAGGAATGGTATTTCAATATGATATGGTCATAAGCCATGGTCATTGGAATGAAAACAATCTACCGGTGATGATTAACAAAAAGGATTTGGTTCAAAATTCCCTGAAGGTTATCCAGATCAACAAACACCTGATGAAGGCTTGCACAATAGCCAAAACGTTGTGACAACAAAGATAAGGACAATCATCCACATGTAAATAATGCAATTAACCATTGGAATGAGTTTCAAGTCAAAAAGACAAGTTTCAAATGGACAAAATGTTAAACAAAGTAAAAATGAACATCATCACGAGTTTAGAAACTTGGTTCAAATAAACGATTAAGCTATTCTAAACTTTTTATTACTTAGCTTTGGCATCATTTAATAAATAATAGCCTTAAGAGGGATTAAGCCTCTATAATCATCAGTTTGCAGTCTGATTGGGGAGGGGGGTATTATGCTCTATTTCTTTTTCCCCAAATTGAATTGAGAGTCTTCTCATGTATGCATGTATGTGTATATATGTAAAACAAAGGCAAACAAAAGCAGCAGCACAAAATCTGGGAGATTTAATTAAGAGAATCGTCATAACAACATCCCTTTATCAGAACTTTAAAATAATGTTTGAAAAAACTATTTTGTTAGCCATCACTTCCCTGACAGCAAGATCGTCATATTTCAAATCTAAATTGTTTCTTTACTTGAAATACTACATTTATTAGAAAATTGAGCTAGTTTCACCCAAACTCACTTTTTGTGACCATTAATATCTTAAAAACTCTAACCTAAATTCACTTTATCATCATAAGTAATGAAGTGGACATTTACTTTGTGGCCATCTGTCAGGTTTTAGATACCAACAAATAGATAGAAATAGACTACCTATCTATTGATATCAGAGTAAAATAATCAAAAAGATACTAAACCTCTTTCACTGTAGATAAAAAAATCAAGTGCCATACATGATACATGCTTGGGCAATCATGTCTCATTCAATTCATGACTGACTAAACAGAAGGTTTCCCACAGTAGGTTTCTTTTTCTTTCTATAGTAGAGTGGTTACCAACCAAGGCGATAGAGCCCCCAGTCTATCTGGCTATTTACTCATAGCTGGCAGGGTGGAGGTGGATAGGTTCATACCTTTCCATTTGCAGATAAGTGAATGTAATGAACCCAATTAGAATTCAAACTCTGCTCTGATTTCTTATTCAGACTCATTAACCATTACACATCCAGGTAAAAGAAAGGAAAGCTGATTATTTTTATTTTATTTCACAGCCATGTAAGCAAAGACATTCATGAAGCTCATGTTTTTCATTTTTTTCCTTGTTTCTAACGAGGATTTCATTGCTCAACACAGGGTAGGGGTTGTTAAATGGGAGGGGAATGTATTTTCAAAATGTCTTATTTCAAACTCAGTTAAATTGTATGTGTGCTTTTGCATGCATTAAATGGCATAAACACACATGTAACTCACTCACACACAACACAGATATCATATAAGGACAGCTGTGTGTGCATCTGGCTAAAACTAAAAACTACAATAATTAATGAGATATATATATATATATATATATATATATATATATACACACACAGGCTCAGTATAACCCAGCCCACCTTTTAAAAAAAAAAAAAAAATTATCATCATATGATTTGTATTTGCAAAGATATTTTAAAATTAAAAATACATAATGCATCTTTAGCTATGTAAGCATTTTGAAATTATCAGCAAAATTAAAAAGTAAAAGCGAACAGGAATAATTATTATTCTCATCCATTTTTACCTTTTAATTCTGCTGATAACTTTGAAATGTTATGTATTTTTTAAATTTCTATTCTCTTGAATTTATTTCCATATCTATAGTAAATGAAAAATGAATATTAAAACAACAAAGTAAATTTAAAAGAATAATATTAAATAGAATTAAAAATATTTTTAAAATTTTAAAAATGAATGCAAAAGCAAATTATTCTAATATACACAATTGTTTTAAAAAACATGCTGGGGTGGGGATCATAAAAATTTTACTAAACTAATTTTAATTAATTTTTTAATTAATTTAAATTTTAATTAAAAATTCTGTTTTTTAAAATTATTTTATTTTTAAAAAAAATTTTGTTAAATTTAAATTTATTAAAAAAATTTTACTATATATATATATATATATATATATATATATATATATATATATATATATATATACACACATTTGAATTAGCAATATTTTTCCATGAACTCAATCTGTCTTTACTGTTTTTACTTTACTGACAAAAAACAATTTAAATGGAAAATACCTTTTAAAAAAAACAACATGAAACCAAATAAATTATTTTAAATGAAGTAATTATTTTCTGATTTAAAGAAAAAAAATTACTGGTACTAATTTGATAAAATGCATAAACAATATATTTACTTTAATAGATAGTGGAATGTCCATCCTATAATTATTTTCTGTTAAAAAGAAAAAAATGAAAACAAGATTTGTACATAATTCCCTCCAACCAATCTCATTCAGAAAAAGGTAGACTTTCAGTTATATTTTTGAAAAATCTAATCCAGAGTCTTTGCAATGGAATCAGATTATCGAGAGAATGAATCAACATGATACTGAATTTCAACATAGCAATGAAATCTAAGTTATTCCTTCCAAGCAATGCCAGGTATACTTGCTAGTGTGTGTGTGTGTGTGTGTGTGTGTGTGTGTGTGTAAGGTGTGATGGGTAAATTGTCTCCATTTTATATTTTTAATTTTTGCACATACACACTGTCTTTGATTTTGTCAATGGCAAAGTATAGTAGGGTCAGTTGGACAGTGTCTGTGAGAAAAAGAGCACCATGTCACAATTCACTCCACCAGAAATTTGGAAATAGCATGCTGTACTGCTTGGCATTTGCACAGAAAGCTCCAAAACAAACATTTCAGAGTGTTTGGGTGTCAATCTGAGGACAGTGCAGAGGATTTGGAAAGAGTTGGATGAGTCTAATGGTGGTTATGAAGGTATAGTACCTCAGAAAACTCATACTGATCATTCTGATGAGAAAAAAATCTCCCAAATATGTTAGTGAGGGCCTCAGACGTGAACACAGAGGCCTACATTAATTGCCTT